CCCCAGGCACCTCCCTCTTCCCCCCGCCCCGCGGTACCAGTCACTTAGGTTAAACCGGTCAACCGTCACTGGGCCGCTCCAGTCCCGCCCCTCTTGCCCGGTCTCAAAATGGCCGCTCGCACTTCCACAACCGACTTCCGCCGTTTCCGAGGCACGCCGCCCGTGCGCGTCTCCATGGTAACGCGCATCCGACAGGCGCCCAGGGCTTGGGGGCGGGAGAAGGGCTGGGGGGGCGGTGCTCAAAACCCGGGCGCGCGGGGCCTGGCCGGCAGAGGGCGCTGGAGGCCAAGTTTGTGATCCGAAGGCCGTCAAGGAGTTCCTATTGGTTGTTCTGGCAGCGGTCCTTCTACCCAATCAGGCTTTTATATCAAAAATTCTATTCCTAAAAAAAAAAGTTTGGTCTCCTTGTGGGAATTAATCTGACCGCGGCTTAACAGCCTCCTGTACAAAACAGGGACAAAAACAGTTGTGGGAAATCAATGAGATAACACATGAAGAGTGCCTGGCGCAAGTAAATATTCAATAAGTTAACAATTTACTTTTGTATTCTGATGCCTAACAGATAAGGACTCGGAGCGTGACTTTTTGATGAACCGCAAAGCTGACTTGACTCTAAACCCGTGGTGTTCAAAGTATCGCGTGCATTAGACTCACCACCAGGGCTTGTTAAAGCAGGTTGCTGGGCTCCACCCCAGAGTTTCTGATTCAGTAGGTCTGAGGTGGGGCTGGAGAATTTCTGTCTCTAGCAAGTTTCCAGGTGATGCTGATACTGACCGTCTGGGGAGCACACCTTGGGAACCAGTGCTCTGAAACCTTCCATGACTCCCCAGGACCTCGGGGGAACATCCGCCCTCAACTGGTTTCCAGAAGCCTGTGGAATCTCATCCCTGTCGTCCTTCCTGTTCGGCTCGTCTTTTTTCTCCCTATAGACCTCTGTAGTCCACACCCTGGTCACCCGGAGCCACTTGGGTATCCTTGATAGGCGAGCTCTCTCCCCCCCAGACTGTGCACGAGCTGTACCACCTTGCGGTGTTACACTCACGGCTGCCCACTTTCCTTCCTTGGGTCTTGTTTGTGTTACATGACCAGCCCCGCTCCCTCCCACAACCACCCTGGGCCAAGACTGTCCAGGGTCTCTGTTTCCTCTGAATCCCAGGCTCCTCAGGTAAAGGCCTAGGGCTTTCTCTGCACTGTTGTTGTCAACTCTGCCCTACACAGTGCAGAACTGGTGCTCCATGTAAAGCAACAGAGGACAGAAGGCTGTGCTCCCCAGCCCATGCCCACAGGCCAGGCAGGGGCCCCTTCATCTGAGGGAAGAAACTCAGCAGCTGTGTACCTGAGCCCTTCTAGACTCACGAAGAGTCAGAGAGCCTGGGGTCTTCTCCTGGCACCCCCTACACAAGAATACAGCCCCACCAGGGGGAGGTGCCTCTGTTAGATCTTGATGCACAAGGTGTGCTTTGCAGCATCGTTTATACCAGGAAGACTGCCAACCACGCATGTCCATTAACTAGACATGGAAATAATTTATGGGGCATGGGTCCTAGAGGAGACACTGCAGACATAAAAAAGGATCTGAGACCTCCTTGTGTGTCTCTGAAATGATCTCCAAATTACACAGGTTGGTGAAAAATGCAAGATGCAAAAATGAGAATAATATTGGGAAAAGGATATAAACATTATATATTTATGTATATAACGTATATAATAAAGCGAGGTGCAGACATGAGGATAAGCATCATTACCTAACATTTTATTGAGTACCAGACACTGTTCTAAGAGCTTTCTAGATATTAAGTTGCTTAATTCTCTAACACGTCCATGAGGTAGGTGCTGTTATCGTCCCATTTCACAGATGAGCAAACTGAGGCCCAGGAAGGTGAAACCACTTGCCCAGAGCCCAGAGCTTGGGAGTGACAGAGCTCAGATTTATACCAGGAACTTTGCCTCCGGAGTCTGTAATTGTAACCACCTCACCATACTAGGTACCACTTGTGTAGAGCAAAAGACAAAAATGAATGACACAACGACACACACACATGTATATTGCTGCTACGTGACTGGAAGGGGACCTGAGAAATCAGTCATCACAGCCTGTGTGCGGGAGAGAGACTGCCTCTCCACTGTACACTCTTGTACTTTCTCAATTTTTTAGCATGCACTTTTGTTTTTTTAATGTCTTGAACTGAACAGGGCCTGGTTTTTTTTTTTCTAGAGGACTCTGGAAGGAGAAGCGGTGAAGAGCGAAAGCCAGATCCCACAGGCACCACCCTGAAGAAGGGGAGAGGCAGGCAACTGCTTCCCCACCCAGCTGCGGATGCAGCTGCAGGGTCAACAGTGACCGCGCCGAGGAGCCAGGAAGGCTGGGAGGCTGAGAAAGAGCTACACGGCGGATGCTTCTGAGCCTCCCAGGGACAAGGCGACCAACCAAAACCTCGTTCAAATCCCAGTTTTGCACCTCCTGTGTGACCTTGGATAAGCTACTTAACCTCTCTGGGCCTCCTTTCCTCATCTGTAATGTGGAGAATGTACCTAACTCACAGAGTTGCTGAGAGGGTTAAATAAATTATTACCTATCAAGGGCTTGGAACAGTGCCTGGCACATGGTAAATCTTAGGTGTTTTCCACCACTGGCATTAAAACAATCTTGTGTGACTGTTTAGCATAATTTGACAATGTTGACTTGCCTGCCTTAAAATTCTCTCGTCTCTTACCAATACCCCCCACCCTTCTGGTTTTCTTACCCCTTTCTAGAATTCCCTTCCGTCTCCCTTTATAAGCTCTTTTTTCCAGTATGAGGACATTGGTTGAAGGGTCGCTGTTCGCCATATAGGGTCTTTATGTTAATTAGAAAAAGAAGCCCGCTTTGGGCATATACAGCCTCGAACCTCAGCCCTACTTGTTTCCACCCTGCCAGCCAGGCATCTCTTACATAGGTCCCAACCTGCGTACTCGTACGAGATGGCCCCAGGCGATTAGTTAATCCATGTCCGCCCATTCTCCCGACCTTCTGCCTTTCTAATGGAAGCCCAGTTTTGTTTACGTATTCACCGGCCTCCAAACCAAAACCTCAGCCCCAGCCTCAGTCCCAGGAGGCAGGGAGAATCCTGAGGAATCCAAGCTAATCATGGCGGCTCCATCACTCTAGCCAATGATTGGTTCAGGATGGGCATGTGAGCCAATTTTGGCCAATGAGAGGGAAGAGAAGTCTGCTGGGAGGCTTTGGGAAAAGGTTGCCTTGCTTCCAGAGACACGGGAAGAGGCGCCCCCCTCTTCATGCACTAAAAATTATCATGCCAGGTTGTGATGCCTGGAGCTGTTGCAGCCACTTTGGGGCCATGAGGGGAGCCCATGTGGGAGCCAAGCCTTCAGCTGAGGGTGGCAGAGTAGAGAGAGAGGGACCCTGGGGCCACAAGAGCCCCCTGGAGCTGTGCCCAACTCCAGTGATGTGCAATCGACAATCATCTCATTGTTTCAGCCAGTGCCAGGCAGGATTTTGTTCCTTGCAGCCTGAATCTTTCCTTTCTGATATAAATACCATAAGGCTGAGTTCTCAAGGCTGGTCTTCACTTCCCTCCAGGGCTGCCACACTCACCCTCATGGCCCCGGTTCCCTCATCTGTCTCCAGCCTCGACCAGCCTGAGCCCCAGCCCTGGGGGGCCTGTGACCTCCTGACACCTTCCCCTGGGGGTCTCTTTAGCCCCTCAAACCCACCATCTTCCAAACTAGCCTCAGCGTCTCCCCTCGAACCTGCTTTTTCTCCCAGGACCCCATCTCAGGGGCAGCTGACCATCCCTTGGGCCTTTCCCTGGCCTTGTCCCTCCTAAGTCTGTAAGGCCTACGGCCTGTCCACTTGGCCTCCTGAGCAGCCCTCCACCACCCCTGGGTCCTGCCTAGCCCCATCGCCTCCCCCTCTATTCCCGCCCCAGCCTCCCCTGGGCACCGGGCCTCAATTTCCCCCTCTGGTCTGTGTCCACAGAGAAGCTAGGGGCATCTTCCTAAGGCACAAACCTGACTCTCTCCTGCTCGAAGCCCTTCCATGGCTCTCCAGTGCCCTCAAGAAAGAGGCCACGTTCCCAAGCTTGTCAGTTAAGGACATTTAAGCTGTGCCCCTGTTTACCGCCCCACCCCCCTTCCCCCAGTCCCTCGGCACTCCAGTCACAGTAAACTACATGCCAGGAGCTAACGTCCAGCATGCTCTCCTGCCTCCAGGCGTTTGCACACACAGCCCCTTCTGCCTGGAAGGCCTCCTCTACCCTTTCTACTTGTCTGCTTACTATCCAGGCCCAGCCCAAAGGCCCCGGCCCTTCTGTAACCCCCACAGGGCTTGGTGGAGGTAACAGCTCAGGAGATGGGCCTTTGGCAGTAAATGCCGTCACTGAGGTACCGTCTGGGGAGGGGGCACATCTCGCGGAGTAAACAGAAAACCTGAGGCCAGCTCGGTGGCGTAGCGGTTAAGTGCACGCGCTCTGCTTCAGTGGCCCAGGATTCGCAGGTTCGGATCCTGGGCGCAGACCTACGTACTGCTCATCAAGCCATGCTGTGGCGGCATCCCATATAAAGTAGAGGAAGATGGGCACAGATGTTAGCTCAGGGCCAATCTTCCTCACCAAAAAAAAAAAAAAAAGAAAAGAAAATCAGTCCCCTCCTCACCCTGAGTCTAAAACAAGGGCCCCCCCCCGAGCCTCAGTTTCCTCATCTGTGCAAAGGGGGTGATAACACTGTGTTCCTCATATGTGAGGTACCCAGGACGGGGCCTGGCCAAAGAAAGCAGCACCGAATAACAGGGCAGCCTCTGTGACATCATCTCTTGAAGTCGGTACTGCTATTCTCGCCATTTTACAGACGAGGGAACCGGGAATCAGAGGTGGAGGGACCGCCCGAGGATGTGGGCAGGACGCGGCTGAGTCGGGATTTGAGCCCAAGCAGGCTGGCTCCAGAGCCCAGCACAGGACATGCAGTTAGTGCTCGGTGAACAGGGACAGCAGTCACAATGGTGTCCAGGCTGGATCCTGTCTCAGCATCCTCCTGCCAGGCAGTTGAGGAAGATTCCAGCACCCAGGCTCACCTCAGGGCTCCCTGCCTGGGTCTTGCTCCCTGGAGACACTTGAGGAGAATGTCAAGTACATCTTCTTCCCTGACTACTCCTCATATTTCAGGGCTAAGTTGTCCCTTCCTCCAGGAAGCCCTCCTGACCTTCCAGGTGGGATTGGGCAATTCCCTGTGCTTCCTCCATCACACCCCTGACCACGCTGCCTCCGCCACTGAGGTCTTGCCCATTCTGGGCTGTCACTGTGTGGGGACAGGGCTGTCCACATCCCTGGACTGTGAGCCCCCTGAGAGCAGGGCCCAGGGCCATCTCGACCACCACTGTGTCCCTTGCACTGCCCAGCACGGGCCAGCACAGAGGAAGAGTTCTGGATGAGTGACTATATCCTTTCCACTTGACAGATGAAGAGACCGAGGCTCAGAGAGGAGCAGTCACTGGCCCGAGGTGTGTTGAGCGATGCAGTGCCTGGAATGAGGTCTGGGCCCGGAGCCTGGTAGAATCGGCAGTGACGAGTGGCCAGGTGGGAGAGGCAGAGGAGTGAATAAAAGAGTGAGAAACAAAGATGGTGAGAAAGCCAGGGAGTCACAGAGTGGGGGGAACGAGAGAAGGGGCAGGGAGGACAAGGCGGTGTGGGCGCCCGGCGGAGGCCAGGACAGGTAAAACAGGAAGGACAGTTGGTGGCGATGCCTCAGGAACACCGGCATGTGCTCGCAGAGGTTCTAGAATGTTCCAGGACGTCAGCTCCAGTCTCGTGGGCCCCTCAGCCGCAGGCCAGGTCCATCCAGCCTCAGGGCGCCTGCCCTGCTACCTGGGGATGGAAGCGTAGTCGGCGTGGGAGCCGGCTGTGAGTTGCTGGCGCGGCTCGGGCTGGGGGCCCAGAATGTCCACGCGATCATCCTCCTCGGTGAGGCTGGCAGGGTCCGGATTGGGCAGCAGGATGAGCTCTGTGAGGCCGTGAATGTCGGACACGCGGCGGAAAGTCTGGAGCACCAGCGCCATGGCGATCAGGCCCAGGAAGAGGTAGACTGCAGAGGGCAGAGGGGCGTGGGGCGACTCAGACCCCCGGGGCAGGCCGTGGGGCTACGGGACCCCCAGGGAGGGGCCGTGCCCCTCTCCCCCTCCAGTCCCCAGCCGGCCACGCCACTCACCTGTGACCAGCACCTTGTAGAGGGCCCGGTGGGGCTGGCCAGGGGCCTCTCCGGGCACGTAGTCGCCCAGGCCGATGGTGGACAGAGAGATAAAGCAGAAGTAGAAGGCATCCAGAAAGCTCCAGGCCTCCTCGAGGTGGGCAAACACCGTGGCCGGCACCAGGAAGCAGACAGTCACCACAGCCCCCAGCAGGACGGCCAGGTGCCAGCGGGCCGCCCGCCGGGGGTCCCAGCCCCAGCGCTCGCTCAGCCAGGACAGCGGGGCCCGGGTCAGCAGCAGCGACAGGCGCTGGGCCGAGGCGCTCAGCAGCAGCATGGTGACCGGCACGCCCAGGAGCGCGAAGGCGATGGAGAAGGCCTTGCCCGCGTCGGTCAGCGGCGTCGTGTAGCCGTAGCCTGCGGGGGCGAGAAGTCCTCTGCCCACTCAGCGCCTCCACTCGCGGGTCTGTGCTCCCCCAAACCGAGGCCCAATGTCACCCTCCGACCTGCCCCTCCCACAGCCTCTCAGGTGATGGCACCTCCGTCCTTCCAGCCGCTCAGGCCAAGAGCCTTGGTGTCACCCCCGGCTGCCTCATCACTCACACCCACTGTCCATCAATCATCAAATAGACCCCAAACCTGCCCGCCTCACCCCACCCCACCCCCATGGCCCCCACCCTGGGCCACCAGCAGCCTTCTCCCTGGTCTCCCTTCTACCCCCACCCTTGCCCCCTCAGTCTGTTCCCTACACGCAGCCAGAGGGATGCTGTGGACACCTAAGTTAAGTCATGTCCCTCCTCTGCTCAGAGCCCTCCCCTGGCTCCCTCCCACTCAGGTAAAAGGACAAAGTCCTCTTTGTGACCCACAAGGCCCCACACAATGCAACAGGGCAGCACGCTCTCGCCCCAGGGCCTTTGCACTGGCCATTCTTTCTCTATGGAATGCTCTCCCCCCAGGCATCTGCACGGCTCCCTTTCTCCCCTCCCTCAGGTCTTTGATCAAATGTCCCCTTTCCAGGCCTTCCCTGACCACCTTATTTTAAATCGTTACACCCTCTTACCCAACTCTTTTGTTTGTTTTCATGGCACTGAACACTGAGCACACTACACGGTTTCCTTGTTTGGTTACTGTCTCCTCAGTAGGTGCCAGCTCCAGCAGGGCGGGGCTTCTGTCTGTTTCATCACTGCTGGAGCCCTGGTATCTGGCAGAGTGGGCCCTCGATCAATAGTCAAAATAATGAATGACAAGTGCAGGCTCTGGCCTGGCTCGGAGTCTCTGTTTCCCCTACTCTTAACATGGGTGTGACAAGCCCACTGGGCTTGGACCACGGGAACAAGGTGGGTGTGAGTTCTGCAAACAGAAATATGATATGGGAGAATCCAGGTGTTGGTGAGACAGACTCACTCGGGCAATGTGTAATTTAAGGTCTCTTTTTATTTCCCAAACTGATTTAACCAAAGGGTCAGACATAGGACTGGGGTGCTGAGGGGCCTGGTTTATGTGGACAGTAAAATGTCTCCCCCAAGAGATTGCAGCTCCAGCCCTGTGGTCAGTGATAAAGGCGGAAACCCTGCACCCACGAGCAGGCCTTGCCCTGGGCCCGTCTCCCCTACAGAAGGGTCCTCTGGTTTGTATATACTCAAAAGAACGGAAAGCAGAGGCTGCAAGAGACACCTGCACACCCAAGCTCACAGCAGCATCACTCACAAAAGCCAAAAGGTGCAAGCCACCCAAGTGTCCTTCGACGGATGACTGGATAAACAAAGACAAATACTGTATGATTCCACTTACACGAGGTACCCAGAGTCGGCAAGTTCACAGAGACAGAAAGTGGAATGGTGGTGGGCAGAGGCTGAGGGGAAAGGGGGAATGAGGGGTTATTTAACACGGATAGAATCTCATTTTGCAAGATGAAAAGAATTCTGGAGATAGATGGTGGTGATGGTTGCACAACAATAGGAATGTACTTAATACCACTGAACTGTACACTTAAAAATGGTTAAGATAGTAAATTTTATGTTTATGTGTATCTTATTTATTTTATTTTTTTTGGTGAGGAAGACCAGTCCTGAGCTAACATCTGCCAATCCTCCTCTTTTTCTGAGGAATATTGGCCCTGGGCTAACATCTGGGCCCATTTTCTTCCACTTTATATGGGAGGCCGTCACAGCGTGGCTTGACAAGTGGTGTGTCGGTCCGCGCCCGGGATCTGAACGGGCGAACCCCGGACAGCCGAAGCAGAGTGCAGGTACTTAACCGCTATGCCACCGGGCCAGCCCGTTATGTGTATTTTACCACAATTAAGAAAGAGCTGAGGGCTGGCCCCGTGGCTTAGCGGTTAAGTGCGTGCGCTCTGCTACTGGCGGTCCAGGTTCAGATCCTGGGCGCGCACTGACGCACCGCTTCTCCGGCCATGCTGAGGCCGCGTCCCACATACAGCAACTAGAAGGATGTGCAGCTATGACATACAACTATCTACTGGGGCTTTGGGGAAAAAAAAGGAGGAGGATTGGCAATAGATGTTAGCTCAGAGCCGGTCTTCCTCAGCAAAAAGAGGAGGATTAGCATGGATGTTAGCTCAGGGCTGATTCTCCTCACAAAAAAAAAAAGAAAGAAAGAGCGAGCTGGGAGCCAGCCCTGATGGTCTAGTGGTTAAAGTTCAGCACGCTCCACTTTGGCAGCCCGGGTTCAGTTCCCAGGGACAGAACCACGTCACCCATCTGTCAGTAGTCATGCTGTGGTGGCGGCTCATGCAGAAGAACTAGAAGGACTTACAACTAGGCTATACAACCATCCACTGGGGCTTTGGGGAGGGGGAAAAAGAAAGAGGAAGATTGGCAACAGATGTTAGCTCAGGGAGAATCTTTCCCTGCAAAGAAAAAAAAAAGAACTGGGGGAAAAAAAGGATCCTCTAGTTTTTGCTGGACACATGGCTCCTGCAATAAAGACATTCCCTTGTCCCTTGCAGCCCAGTATGACTCTGGAATAATTTCTGGCCAGTGAGGTACACATGAAAGAAGCAAGCAACTTCCAGGAAGTGTCCTTAAAGAGAGGGGGATGCCTGTCTCCCTTCTTTCCTCCCTCATCATGCTGCCTGAACACAGACATGAAGACTGGTGCTGAGCAGCCATTTTGGACAATGAGGTGACCTTGGGAATGGTAATTGTGCAAAGAGGAGTGATGTAGGTGCCTGAGGGTCTCCGACTATGACCGTTCCGGTCTTGGACCGACTACCGTGAATGTGAGCAAGAAATAAACCTCCATCTTATTTACGCAGCTATTATTTGAGGTTGATCACTTATGGCTCCAACCCTCATTAAGACAAGGATTTTGATGGAGAAACTCCAGCAGCCTGGCTGAAATGACAGGTTGCAAAGGACACAAAATCCTTATAAACAAAAAAATCATATAGAATTAGAATGCGGGCAGGGAGCCTCAGCCTACTGCCTCAAAGAGTCAAATCCAACTCAGTGCTCTGCCATTTATTCTCTGCACGACATCAGCCAAGTGACTTCCCTCTGAGGCTCGGTTTCCGCAGAGTCTGCAAAACGGCCTTCCTCAAATGCGAAGGTAATAATCCAGCCAGGCTGGGACAGGACGTAGCAACAAGGGAGGGCCTGGGAAGAGTCACCAGGACTCCACTGCTCGCTCCCTCTCTCTGGATTCCCAGTCCCAGGCCTCACCAGCAATAACAATGACCACCGAGGCTCAGTCAGCCTCAGTTACTGCTACCAGCACTTCACATGGACAGTCTCCCTCCTTGAGCCGACTTCAGGCAGGCTCCTCTGGGCCCTCTTCTGGACCAGGCCCAGTGTTAGCAGGAATCCTAAATCAGTTTAGGCAGAATCCCCCCACCCTTGATGTCTGAGCAGATTCCTCATCCTCCATGCTTGATATCTAAGTCCTTTTATCTAAGTCCTTGGCCTGTCTTTAGCCAGAAGCCTATTAAGCCAGTTTAGCCAGAATCCCCCACCCTCCCTGTCTCCTCTGAGTCCTTTTCCATCCACTGACACCCTCCCTCTGCTCTCAGCCCTAAACCTCTAGCTGTCTTGGCTATATTCGGAGTTGAGTTCAGTCTCTCTCCCCTATCACAGTAACTTACCATTTTTAGCAAGTGTCAGAATAATATTTCTTTTACAATATACACACATCACCCTTCTGTATGCAAGCTTGAGAGGTAGTGCGGTGTGTTGGTTAAGAGCACGGGACGCTACACCTTCCTAGCTGTGTGGCCTTGGGCAACTTGTCCAACCTCTCTGGACCTCCGTTTCCATTGCTGAATAAACAGGGCCCCTAATGGTACCTGCCTCACAAGGCTGCTGTGCTGATGAAGTGGGTTAGAGCCCGTCTGTGGCAAGTCCTCTACCAGGCATTACTGTTACCGTGGAGTGGGGAGCGTTATTATCCCCATTTTAGATGAGAGAGGAGACCGAGGCTAGAGATGAGCAGCGGCTGAGCTGTGGCTGCCTTGAGTTTGGCCTCTTCACCTGTCCCGCCTGGCTGACTCCTGGGAAGCCAGGATGGGGCGGAGGCAGAGGGAGACACTGAGGTGACCCAGTGCAGCCCAGGAGCAGGTCGGGCAGGCCCAGCTGGCATGGGGAGAGAAGCCCCAGGGAAGGTCAGCGAATTCCGGTCAGTGAGGAGCATCCGGGCCTGCAGCCCGGCCGCCTATGGCCTTGGTTTGCCGGTCCACACACTGGGGCACCAAAGTGCAAGACCGCCGCTGTTGCCGCAGGGAGGAATCCCGGCTAGCCTGTCCGGCCTCACTCCCCTCCCCTAGGCCCAATCCCGGGCCAAGACAAAGAGGAAGTCTGGGGACTGCGGAGGCGCTGGGGGAGGACCCGCAGCTGGGATTTCCCAGGTCTGCAGGGCACTGAGGCAGGTAGGGGGTTTCCCTAGGAGGGCTGGGGGCGGGGCAGTCTCACCTGCCTGGGGGGGGGTCCTGGGTCCAGAGGAAGGAGGGGACAGGCCCCAGTGGGGGCATTTTCTGGATCGAATGGGACTGGGAGAGGAGTCCTCAGAGGGGGCTTCTGAGCCCAGGGATGCCTGAGGGGACGTGATGGGGGCAGACACTGCTAAGGCGTGATGGAGGGGTGGGGTCTCAGGTCCTTGCTAGTCCAGGGTGGAAATTGGTAACGGTCTTGAGCGGGTACTGGGGAGGGTTCTGGGGTGCAGAGGGCCCGGAGCGTCCTTAGTGGAGGGGAGAATTTCGGGCCCAAAGCAGGCTGGGGCAGTGTTAAGGTGCAGAGGGAGGTCCCAGCTGTTGGTCTGGAGGAGATTGGGGGGTCCAAGGTCCCCGGGAGACTCCCTTTCTTGGGAACTCCAGGGTGGACAGCTGGGGGCAGGGTAGCCGGCATCCTGTGTGTCTCTGTGCAGGGGGATGGGATTCTGTTCTCAAACACAGCATACAGGGCTCTGGGGTCCCTGAGAGGAGGTCCAAGTGGTTCTGGGTCTCTTACTGAGGAGCGTCAGGGCTTGGAGAGGGATGAGAGTCTCAGCTAGGGGTTCTCGGGTTCAAAAGGCCCCCATGGGAGTCTCTGGTTTGGAAAGGGCTGGGGGTTTTGCTGGAGGCAGTCTTGGGGCCAAAGGGGTGGGAGTCCTGGCCATGGAGCTTCTAGTTGGACACAGTCAGTGGTCCTTCCCTCCACGGTGGGTCCCTCTCACACATCCACACTTGGGGGATGCTGAATTGAAGTCCCAGGTCCAGAGGGAACAGGGGGTGTCCCCACTGGGCTCCCCAAGACAGGGGAGATGTCAAGATGGAATGGGGTATGTAGAGGGGGTCCTGCGTCAAGTCAGGGCTACCTACTGGGGAGTATGAGGATGGGGTGGTCCTTGGCCTGCAAGAGGGCAAGGGTGCTGGGGAGTGGTCTAGGGCCAGAGGGGTGGAAGTCTCAGATGGGGGCCCCAGGTCCTTGACGAGGGATCTCTACTGGCATAGAGTCTTTAGTGATGGTGCCCTGAGAGGGTCTGGGGATTCAGGGTCCTCAGTGGGGCACTAGGGTTGGGAGGAGGTTGGGGTAGGGCTTCCCAAACTGCGGCCCGGAAGGACTATCTGGAGAGTCAGCAGCCATTGTTGGAGGGGATGGCGGTCTGTGCACAGAGAGGACAGGGGTCCTTCATGGCTGAGGTCCAGGTCCAGAGGGGGCGAGGGTCTCAGGCGGAGGGTCCCAGGTCCTCGCTGGAGGTCTCTGAGGGTGGTCCTAGGCCCAGAGGGGACTGGACAGACCCGGGGCTCCCAGGGGGTTCAGGCCGGGGAATGGCGTCCCAGATGTTCGCTGGAAGGTACTCAGGGAGGCCCTAGTCCCGGAGGGACTGGGGGATTTCCTGCTGCGCGGGCGGGCTTAGACAGGGGTTCCCCGAAGAGGGTCAGATCCCACGAGCGTGGGTCCTGGGTCCTCGTTGGGGGTTTTGAGGGGATCCCAGGCCCAGAGCGAAATGGGAGTGATCCCCCGGGATAAGGGTATTTCGTGATGGCTCAGGGGACGCGGTGGGGGTCCCAGGTCCCCGCCGGCTGGGGGCATGGGGGCGGCGCTCACTCACCCACGGTGGTGACCAGCGTGCTGGCGAAGAAGAGGGCCGAGGCAAAGTCCCAGGCGGGGTCCGAGGCGTTGGCGGGCCCCGAAGCGTTGGCGAGCGCGGCGCGCCCCAGCCGTCCGGCCGCCAGCACCCGCTCCACGAAGGCGTCCAGGGCCGGGCCGGCCACGCACGGGCTGCGCCGCAGCAGCTGCTCCCGCTGCGCCTCCAGCTCGGCTCGGAGCCGGGCTTCGTGCGGGCCCTCCAGCCGCGCCACCAGCAGCGCGCCCAGCACC